TTGAGTGTCCTCTGGGAGTGCCTTGCTGCAAATGTGGTTTTATGAGGGAGCAGCAGTCAAACTGCTGATCGTTAATTTAATACCACTGTAGAACTGTAAAAAGAGCTCAGGATGTGTGGTGGGGAGTTCTGGTTTGAGCTGACAGGTGTGAGTAATAAGACCCAAGAAAGACACCTCTCTGGACCCTAGCTACTTTTCCTGTAAAATGGGAAAACCAGTTCTCGTCCCAGCTGGCTTAGAGTATGACCATCAGATGAGATGGTGAAGCAGTTTGTTCACTTGTAAGGCTTGGAAAACAATGTGTTTAACTTTCGTGAAAGTTTGCTCGCATGCTAACATAACACAGCAGGCCTCCTGCAGGCTCCCGGCAGCCTCTGCGGGGCGGACGGGGCAGGAACTGAGGGACAAGAGCTGTGTGTCTATCCCGAAGAATGTGCAGATTACTTCCATAATCTCTGTTCTGCTACCTTGGGCACCTCCTGTCTCTACGCATTTCCCACACAATCCCCTCCAAGCTGTCCTCCTGCTCCGCCCATCCCAGCCTCGCCATGCTTGTTCCACGCTGGCACTGCATATTTGTTGAACGCATGAAGAAATGTGCAGGGTGGCTTATTAGAGAAGAGTCATTTTCAAACTTTGACAGTGCAGCCCCAATAAATGTGTGAATATAGGCCTGTGTGTGCCGTGTCCTGCGCACACACTCAAGGATTCGCAAATAGTCCCAGTATACCCTTACTGCACAGCCTGCATTCTGAGCGTTTCTGTTCTGTCTTGTATCTTTTTTATTTTTAAAGAAAATGAGAGCTACAAGGGAATTGATTTCACTACCCCGACTAATGTATCATGACCTGCAATTTAAAAACGTGGTTACAGAATAATCTGGCAGAGAGAAACCTTGTTCTTTGCAATTGGGTGAGCTACTTGAAGGATCTGCAGAATTTATCTGATTCCCAGTGCTGATGCTGAGAGACTGAGACCATAGAAGGCGAAGGGAACTGGCAGCTAAGCATTATGGGACTTGAAGGGTGGCTACATTTAATGTGTGTTTAGTTTATCATGGCCTAGGTGAGGACGTAGAAATCTAATGAAGGCTCAGGGGTTTAAGCTGTTAATGTTTGAGAAAGGTTTGAATTTAGTCTCTTACCTCATTGAAACTGTCGAGATTTGCAAGGGTCACCTTCAAGTAAATGCCAAAATCCTGGGCTCCAGGTGTACTCCAGATGCGGGAGCCTTGGGAGTCTGGAGGAAGCGTGAGGACACTATTAGGTCCCCTCCTGTGCCCTACAGTAGCTGTGCTGAAACATTCTGGCTTTTCTGGGGCTCGTGCATGGCTGTCCACACCCTGGGATGAAGGTCCAGAGCACCCTCACATTAGCACAGGTCACTAACCAGATGGGAAAACAGGTTCAGGGTTCAGACAGCAAATGAAATTTTGTTATCCAGAGACCAGCTTTTTTTCTTTCTGAAATCTAACAGGACCATTTATCCCTTTGGGGTCAGTGCCCAACTCACAGAATGACCCAGGAGGTGTTTGTTGAGTGACTCATTCAGTCCAACCACAGCTTACAGAAATCTCTCATCAAGCTCAGACAGTTTTAAGTGCAAGGTCATGAGTTCCATTCTCAGTACCAACAAACAAACAAACAAACAAAGACAAAAAAAGCTCAAACAGTTTTGAGAAACTCTCTAGATTCTTTCTGAGGCCCTTTAAATTTTACCCTATGTCTCATAAGTAGATAAAAATCTTACTTTTTCTACAAGTGGTTCCTCACAGGAAGCACTTGTGGATTCTGATATTTCCTTTCCATTTTTCTTTAGGCTTTGCAACTGAGGAAGAGGAAATAGCCCTCTAGTTTTAGAGAAGGTTGAGTCCATCAATAAAGCCTTATTACTCATTTGCTTTAGGTCCAGAAAAGTAGCCACATGGTAAAATTCCCTTTCTTGGTTTCCATGTATCAGCTAGATATAGTAACCAATACCATGAATGTTCTGATTTTGGGGAGTGTGTATCTAGAACCAGGATTCCTCAGGCTTGGCTTTGTAAAGATCTGGGTTCAATTCTGGCTCTCCCAGTGCTTTGGCATATTACATAAATGCTTTTTGTCTAGCCTGACTTCCTTATTTATAAATATCAATGGTAATGACTCTTAACATCATAGTGTTGTCATGGGGATTAAAGGAAGCCATACATGTAAAGCAGTTGGCATGAAACATTGCTTTTTATTGTTAATAGTAATAGATTGTGATGACAGTGACCCTTTCATTTGTTAGGGTGATATAGCACAGGCACAAGCCAGGGACAAGTGTGATCTCTAACAGCCCTACTCCTCACACTGTTCATATGAATGTATTAGTCAGTGAGGGCCAAGTTATGTGTCAGTAACAAACAACCCTCAAATCTCAGCACCTTAACACTGCAGTCTTTTATTTCTGGACCATGCAGTGCTTTCTGTGGATCTAAGTAACTTGCTGTCCTCTCTGTTAGCTTTGTACTCAGCTCCACTTCAGGCTGTTTTATGAATGAAGTTTTAGCCTAAGCTTTGTCCTGCTGATAAAAATAAATGACACGGAATAAAAGTTTTTACAGTCTGCTGTAGACCATAGCACAAAGGAGAGTCCAGCATGGTTACTAAAGATCATCCTTTTCTTGGTACAGCTCCAGCTTCATATTCTAGATCAGTGATCTGAATCTATGGCATGCATGCCACAGCCAGCTGTTTATCATCCAAAGCTCGAAAAGGTTCGCCATCATTGTTCTAGACAGACTATCTTTGTGTTCTTACCTTTTGATAGTGCTTACAATTGTCCCACCCTCAGATAACAGAACCGTGGAGCTCTGCTCTTCACCGTGGGGCCAATGGGGCTTAGAGGCCCCTGGGCCTGTTTTCCACCAGGTCCCATAGACCCAGAAGCATTGCTTTATGCAACGCCCCCCGTCGACAGCTTCCAAGTCCTACCTCAGTTGTGCCCCAGGAGGACACCTTAGGAGAAAGATGGCCACACAGATTGTCAACCAAGGCCAGAGAGCTCAACTTCCCACTTTGCCAGTAAGAGGTGGACCTTGTCTGTCATCTCCACTGGACCAGATATTCCGTCACTGCTTCCCTACTGCAGCTTACATCTCCCTACAATTGGGATTTTCCTCCCCAAAGTCAAAGACATGCAGTGTCTTCATGTCCTCAAGTTTGAATCTGATAAATTGAAGGAACAAAGGTGGCTGTCTTTGTGGCACCAGTCCTCATAGCACTGACAACCAAGGCTGCTGATTGCAGAGAAAGGACAGGCGGCACAAGGGCAGATCTGTTAAATTGTGTGTAAATGGTCTTTTTCCTGTGAAATCTCAATACATCCCCGAGGACATTACAGTCAGATTTGGAGCCACTCACTGCTGATATTTACTCGTTCAGGATTTTACTCGTGAGAAGCCACTGCAGCACCAGAACCATTTCGCCTCCATGAAGACAATGTCAAAGTCTCCAAATCCAGGATGTTTTAAGGCAGGATTCCAACCTCATTACTGCCAGGAATAAAATTCATCCAAGGTGAAGCGTCCTCTCTTAGAACTCAAATCCGTCTCAGAATAGCTTTTCTTTCCCCTTTGTTTTTGAAGCTAAGCAATTACTTTTTTTTTTAAAGAAAAAAATTGTGCTAATGCACAAAACGCTTTTTTTCCCCTTTCATTTATTTGAAATTGAATTTAAAAAGTCAGTTCTGAGCGAGCACTATATATGAATAATGCTTTGTGTCCATAAAAGCCCATTGACTCAAATGGTATGGGAGAGCTGATTCTCCGTCTGCTTTGTGGGAGCGTCCATAATGACAAAGTACTCGTGTCACAGTGTATAATGAAACTATAAATTGTTTTCATGAATGCTCTGAATTTGGTCTTTTACGGGGCAAATTCAAAAGGTATTTAGTGCCACATTTCACATATGTGAATAACACCAGCTGGTGCAATATATCCAGTAACAGTAGAGAGTCTTCACTGGGCTCACCCTGGCCAGTGTGGTGGATGACTGTCACACTCGGGTATTTCATGGTGCAGGCAGCGAGCAGAAGAAATGAAGAAGGGCAGAAGCGATGAAGAAATCCCATCACTTGGAAGCAAGAGTTCCAGTATGATGTGCGATTGTTTGGGGATAACTGTGGTTAAATACGTGGCTCCTGGCCAATGGGTGCCTGCATCTGAGTGGCAGAAGAAGTTGTACAGATCAGGGCCATGCTAGGGAGCAGATCTGCAAGTGGGAGAGCGTCTCCGGGGTTGTGTGGGCAGGGACAATCTAGTGCTGTGAGTTATGGTTCAATTAAACTATTTTAATTACATTTTAGGTATGTTTTATTATAGAAGGCGTATGGATTTATCCCTGAAAAATTAGAAAATACAGAAAAACAAAGCAAAATACAAAAACTTGGGTTTTTAAACTGGGATTAGTGACTCACTCCTGTAATCCCAGAATTCAGGAAGCTGAGACTGGAAGATTGCAAGTTTAAGACCAGCCTGGGTGACACAGTGAGTCCAGTCTAGCTTGAAATACATAGTGAAATCTTGTCTCAAAACCAACAACAGAAAAATAAAAATAAAAACTTGGGCAACTAATTGAACATGAAGAGATCATGATGAGCAATTTTTCACAAAATTCTTATCAAATATCTTTATGTATATCACTTTGTAGAATAAAATTTTACATAATCCAACCTGGATATAAACACTCTTTTTAAACAACACTGGGGCTTAGGTATTTATTTGCCTATGTAGTTTTTAAGAATACACTGCTTTTGAAGTTACTGCCAATTAAGTTATTTTCTCTGTCCCATCTATGGAAATTCCTGGATGTCTAAGATTTGGGTTCTGTTTTGAGGGTACCCCATGTCAGGCACTGTAGTAGCCTTTATGTATCTCACCAGCAAATGTCCCTGGGGATGAGAGTCCTAAGAATGCAAGGGGCGGGTGGGTCAGGGCAGCATGCCTTAAACAGAGCCCTGTGGCCTCTCCTGAGCAGGGGCGGATGTGTTTGCCCCACAGTACCTGGTCTGCAAGAGGAAGCTGGAGAGTAAGAAGGAAGCGCTGCTCATCCTGTCCAAGGAGCTGGACACCTGCCAGCAGGAGCGGGACCAGTTCAAGCTCATGGCTAATCAGCTGCGCGAACGCCACCAGTCGCTGAAGAAGAAGTACCGCGAGCTGATCGTAAGTGCAGTGCCACGGTGATTCCCTGTGCCCTTTGTGAAGGCAGGGAGAGGGGGATTTCACAGCTCATTCCTTCAAAAAGGATTGCGTTCAAGTGGTACAAACGTGGAAAAGTTAAGAAGCGAAGGTCTCCACCCTGTGTCCTCCACAACCCAGCCCCGCTCCCAGGGGACGCCAGTAGCTTGCAGATGGCTTGCAGCGCCTGTGAACATACACACATGGTCTGTGTCTCCGTGTGGCAGCTTCCTTATCAGTGCATTGATGTGGACTTTTAAAAAATGATTTTAAAAGAGGATCATATTTTAAAATCTACATGAATACAGAGGCCCCTAACTACACTTGGCTATTTAAAATTTAAATTCAGCTACTCAGTCTCACTTGTCACACATGAACTCTGAGGCTGCAGGTGGCTGCTGCCCTAGGAGTTGACATAGGACATTTCGCTCACCGCAGAGTGTTCTTCTGGGCAGCATTGTGTTGCATTATTTTAAAAGATGTTCTTTTTGCTCATCACTGTGTTCGGACAGCTTTCCAGGTCACACACGCAGACTTAATACATTCTGAGGCATCTGGTGCCCATAATGTTTATAACCTTTTCCTTTTGAAGGGCCTTTTGATTGTCCCTATGTTTTCATACGGCAAGATGTTTATCCTGAAGCGAAGGACACCAATAGCACAGCGCTCTTTTGTACTTTGCTTTGTTCTTCTTGGATGTAGTCTCTTTTTTAAGTGCACATGGTGTCACTAGTGTCTCACCATCGTGCCTGGGTCACTGCCCTGCTCTGGAGTAGAAATAGAATAGAAAAGTTTTTTGAGTTAACATAGATTCATGTGTAGGTAGCATCCATAAGAGTGTGCTTGCATATTCACCTAAGGAATTTGTACTCCCAGATGGCACCAAAGGGAGAGGAAGTCAGCCTTCTAAAAAGCCCAATAGAACTGAAAGTTGTCAGTTAATTTTCTTTTATTTTGAGCAAATTCTATCACCCTCCCCACTATTCTGCCCATAGAGAATACCAGTCACTGTTCCTTTGGTTCTATTTAAAAGAACTCAAGCCAAATGAAATATTATGTCAGTTCATGATCTGCTCAAAACTCACTTTGATAAATCTAGAGGTTTTTTTAGCTCACATAGTTTTAGAAAATATAGAAGATTGATCCTAGTTCAAGCTGATTTCCTAGAGGCTTTTCTAAAATAATTCTGGTTCAGTTTATAGTTAATTTCTTTTAAAAGTGTAGCTGAGTTTCGTTGTGCAGGTTACTAGTTGCCTGGAGATGGGGGTGGGTCTGAATTCAGGTTCATAATTTGGTTCTATTGCAGGAGTCCATGCACATTAGATATTTTTTAAAAAAGTAAAGCATAATATTTGTTTCTTTGTAGGATGGAGATCCATCACTTCCCCCTGAAAAGAGGAAACAGGTAAGACTCACTCTGGATGTTTGATGACTCCAGATTATGATTATTTTTGCCTTCCTACAGCTGGAAGAAGTGAGGAATCACTAAACATATGGAGTAAACTTCTTTTTACTTCCCAGAATCCTCTGTGTTTCCAGCAGGAGTGGGTGGCAGAGACTGTGAGGAAGGCTCAGGAATTGGGAGCAGGAACCCAGGTAGCCTACCAGGGTACTGGCAGGCACCCAAGTGGCTGGAGCCCTTCACTCACTGGGAGTTCTAGGGAAGCTGAGCACGTTAGTTACTGTTTGGTAGGTGCGTACTGCCCTGCCTTTACATTCCTGCACTGCAGACTTTGGAAGCTGTTTCCATCAAAGCTCACAAGCCATTTATTTTTTTCTCTAATGATACCAATAGTACTTATTGACTAATTTACTTTCTCACTTCCTTATATGTACATGTGCATCTATCCCTGGACTTCTGGATCTGTGCCATGGAGCTTCCCATATAGTTCTGTGGTTGTACCATATTTATTCTAACTGCTTCTGCTTTACAATTCTGTGTGTGTGTGTGTGTGTGTGTGTGTGTGTGTGTGTGTGTGTGGTGTTGTGGTATTGAGAATCACAACCCTTTTTTCTTCCTCCCTCAGTCTCCCTTCTCCTCCCTCTGTCCCTCCTTCCCTTCCTTCCTAGGATCTGGCTAAGTTGTCCAATTGGCTTGGAACTTATGATCCTCTTGCCTCAGCCCCCCAAGGAGCTGGAGTTACAGGTGCGCACCAGTGTACCTGGCACTTCACAGTACTTTTAATACCTGGTTGAGTTAGTCTCTTCCCCTTTGCTCTTTTTTTAGATACTTTTTTGCTTGTCACTTTTTCCAGATAAAGAAAGAAACATCCAGATGAGAAACATTTTACTAAGTCTTTCTCTGATCTCGCACACAAGTCCCATTGGGATTTTGTTAAATTTATTTCATTAAGTTGATAAAAGTGAGCATCTAAATTTGTTAGATGGTGAAAGAGCATCTGAATCTGTTAAATTTGTTTTGATGTTTGATGGTGATGAACAGCAAATTTGTTAAATTTGTTACTGTATAGATGAATTGAGTATATATATGAAAGGGTGCTCTTTTTCCAAAGGTGCCTTTGTGGACTTTCCTCAACTTCACAGTTATTCCATATTCTGACATACCCTGATTTATACATTTTCATGTGCTGTAGAGGAGCCCAGGTGGTGGTCATGTTAATGGTGGTTGATTCACAAGCCAAACTGGATGAGAACTGAATCAAATTTCTCTAGAAAGTCAACATTGAACCTAACTATTGCATTTGATTTGATTCACTATCAGTCTGGTTAGCAACCATAATCATAGAAAGAATTAAGTTCATGAACCAATTACAAGCAAGGACACAGGAATTATCTGTACACTCACAGCTGTAATGCTTACCCAACACCCTGGGTTCCCCGATGATGTCGGTGATGTCCTGCTCATTGATGATATACCGGGCACCGCAGGTAATATGTGTGGATTAGTTTCATTGAGACTTTTGGTGCTGGTGCACAGTGTGCCTCACACACACACACACACACACACACACACACACACACACACACACATGACTTGTATCTGTAAACAGCAGTTCCGTCCCACGATCACCTCTGCAGTCACAGAAGGCTGCTTGCTTCCATATTCCTTCCTGGTTTATGCGATTAGCTTATAATGTTCCACTTTTGATCTAAAGTCTAATTTTTCTATGGAGCTAATTGATGTTTTTTTCTAAACAAAATTACATGAAAATTTATCATTACTGTTTAAAAACTAGAATCCTTCCTCTTGAATTGCGGGGTGTTTTTGACGGTTATAAGCAGTCGTTTTTGCTGCGATGTTAGAGTTTGTTAGTATTCATGAAGGAGTTTTACAGTTTTAAGTGAATTCACGTTCTGCGACTTTATAATAAAAAATTTACATCGACTGAGGAGAATCTGATGAATTCCACTAAGTCTGCCAAGCGGCGTTGTTACAGTTCTGCAAATTCAAGTTCAAGGGCCTCAACATTGGTGATGTAGCTTTTAATGCAGCGTTTAGTCTCTGTCCCTTTAGGATTCAGTATGGTGGTGGGAGCTGGGCCTGTGCAGCCTTCCTGCCTCAGTTGGAATCACTGAATCAGTGGAGGAGATAGGGTGTCTGGGGACACAGGTGACTGACATCCTAAGCTGTGTGACCAATAAAGGAACCCACTACCTTGCAGAACCAGAGGTCCCAGCTAGTGCGGGATTAGGGGCTGTGTGGTCAGTGGTCCCAGGAAGTTCCCATGTACTTACTCTCTCTGCTGTCACGCTTAGCAAATAAAAATACCGGGCACTCAGGTAAACTTGGGCTTCAGATAGCCAGTGAATACTCTGTTAATATAGGAGTGTGTCCTGTGCAATGTTGGGGTCATACTTACACTAAAATATTCTCCACTGTTTATCTGAATTCAAATTCACCTGGGCGTCCTGTATTTCATCTGGCAGCTCTACCATTGTGCCAGCTGTCATGTCAGCTTTCTCTTGTGCTTAGTATCAGCCTCTGTCTATGGCTGATTCCTCTATACCGGGAGATGAAAATACCAGCCCTGACGTATGCGTTCTTTCCTCCAGCTGGTTGGCCAGTGTGGGAATATGCCTATTCCTAGTCTAAGGACCTTTAGAGGAGAGTACTCATGCCAGTTGGCTGAGATTGGTCATCTTGCATGGAAAGGCTGTTAGGGGTTAGCAGTGACACCTTCTAGACTAACTGTATGGCTTTGAGAGATCTCCTCTAGGTGTCCAAATCTCAGCTTTCCTATCCACAAAATGGGAATAAACATGGTACCCATGGCAAAGAGAGAACATAAGGAACGTGTAAAGATCCTTTCAGTTGCACTTGGAGCTCGAAGTAGGTTGGGGCATGGAGCAGATTTGTGGTTCACAGGAGCACAGGGATTGGTTAAGCTGCCCTCATGGGAGCAGAAACACAGGTGACCTCAGGGGTGAGCAGAGCAGGGCCCAGCTGCCCCTAGTCTCTGTTCTCTGCTCAGCTCTCTCCGTGCTCATCGTAGGTTCTTTTAGTGACCCCCTTTGTCCTCAGATCACCGAGGTGGCGGCCAACCCTCCTGAAGCCCTAGACCCTGCACAGTGGCCACTCGGAAAAGCCTGACCCCCAGGGCCTTGGGGTGGATTCCCACAGCCAGGGTCAGGCCAGGCCACATCAGGGCCCGGAAGGCTTTGCTGGGCTTCCTGTAGATATAGGTGGCTCCTGCTATTGCCTTGTGAAGAGATACAGGGCAGACAGTGCCACAAACATCCTTGTCGAACATGCTTGCTTAAGATGGCTCCAGAATGATCAATAATACAGCCAACTTCCTTTTTCTTATTTTTTTGGCAGGACTGGGAATTGAACCCAAGGCCTTTTCACTAGGCTATATCGTAGGCCATTTTTTTTTTTTTTTTTAATTTTTCATTTCAAGACAGGGTCTTGCCAAATTGTGAAATTGTCCAGGCTGGGCTCCAGCCTGCTATCCTCCTGCCTCAGATTCCCAGGAGCGCTGGGATTACAGGCGTGTGCCAGCAGGCCCAGTTCCACAGCCAGTGGTATTGAGTTCAAGTTTACCATGAGCTTTGCAGTGGTGGTCTTATTCACTTCCCATCCAGACACATGAAGTGGGTCCTGGTGTTATCAGGGTCATTTGTTTAGCGGTAGTAGGGGCTTAGGGAAGGCGAGGGAGTTGCCCACAGGAGGCTGAATAGGTAACTGCTGCTGCAGTCCAGCTTGAGACCCTGCAGCCCTCTTGACTCAGGAGTCCTTAGCGTGCACCCTATGTGTGTTCAATGCCATTTTCCACTGCTGGGGATAGAATCCTGGGCCTCACACATGTTAGGCAAGTTCTCTATCACTCAGCTACATCCCCAGCACTTTTAAAATTAATTTATATTAATTTTTTTGTTTTTTTTTGTTTTAATTTATATTAATTCATTAATTTGATTTTTCAAGGTCTTGTTACATTTTCCAGGCTGGCTTTGAACTTTTGCATTTTCCTTCCTCAGCCTCCCGAGCAACTGGGGTTGTGGATGTGTGCTACCATGCCTGCTTCTTGTGCTCATTTAGACAAGAGGGACGCAGGGGTGAAAAGAGTCTGACCAGAACCCCTGACCTAACTGAAGTGGTACTGTAGTTAAGGTGACCGCCCCAGCTCTGCCAGGACTCTCTCATTTATACCTCTTATTTTGGCATCAAATTTTATTAGTGCACCTTTCACTTGCCAAGGCATCTCGGTTCAGATGATCGATAATACAGTCATCTTATTTCTGGTAGGGGTGCCATAAATAGACAGTCAACAATATCATTAAAATATATAGGATGTAAAATGGTATTCAGTGCAAATGCAGGCCAAGGTTAGGGAGGGAATTCTGGCTAAGTAGAGGGAAAAACGTCTTGATAAAGACTAGGGGAACACAGTTCTAGAATTAGACGAAAAGAAGACTCTTGTCCCTTTAGAATATTTTAAAGTTTTCTTGCTCCTAGCTCATCCTTAGTTGGGGTGTGTGATGGGTTTTTGGTGTAACGCTGCCCTCTTTATTAGCCCAGTGTGGGAAGGAAATGTGGCACTGACATTTAGGGGCCGATGACCATGCAGCTTTCCATTCAGCAGCTTTGGGGTGCATTTGTGGGGGGAGTAGGAGAAAGGAGAGGACGCCCAGGCAGTTCCGAAACTGCTTCATCAGCTAGAAGGGAGTGGCAGCACACATCCTCCCTGAGTCTCCTACAGAATCTGCCGTGTTGATCCTGGGGCAAAACAGCAGATGAAGTATTTCCCTCTTCCACTGCAGAGCTAGCACACATTGTATAAGTGGAAGGCAGGGGACCACGAGCCTCTGCCAGGTTAGCAGACGTGACTCAGAGGTCACAAGGTGTGTGGACTGGAAGCCACTGAACATCTCACGGCCTATTGTCCTTGAAACTCTGTTTTTTAGCTGAGAAGGTGAAATTCTGTGACCTCCTCGCTGGGTTCT